TAACTATCCTATTAAAACAATTTACTAATTGTTTTTAAAGAAATTTTTTTATGAGATACAAAATAAAAAGATAATATTGATGTTAAATACATAACTTGAAACAATTGCTTATAATTATGTAATTTATATTTATTGTGAATTATTATTAGTTGGTATTAGCAATGACTATTATATAATATAATAGAAACATACAATATTACACTCATTAAGATGTATTAATGTGAGAAATAAAAAATATTAATGACAAATTTTGTAACCGAAAATGAAGGGAAAATTTTAGAGGTTTTATTAAATGTTTTATTAAATGCTACATGCTAGCAATTATATATATATAGATTTCTATACACATTTATATTCATGGTACCCGTTTCGACGAAATTCGACATTAAAGAAAAATAAACAACGGAACATGAAAATAATAATAATAATCAAACTACAATTTGTTGCAACAAATCGAATTACACCAAATTACACAATTTGGGCTTAATTTTTGGATATACATTCGGTTTTTCTTGCCAATATTTTACAAACAAAAAATCCATCTAAATTTAATTTTTTTTGTATAACCTACTTTTTCTTCGTAATAATAATAAAGAAAAAAAAACTCCAACCAACTGTATACGTATGCCAAAGTTAAATACTAACTAAACAATAAAATAATTCCCTTAAAAAAATAAAACATTTTAATAATTTGTATAGTGTGTATTTTTAAACAAAACCAATAAACTAATAGGAGATGCTACCCAGTCAGAGTTTGTAACTGTTAGATTAACTATCATCGACGATTACATGACGATCAAACGGTTATAAATCCCGACGGAATAATCCATTCCGTCGAGGTTTGTAACCGTTAGATCAATTATCCCGACGATTACATGATGATCTAATAATTACAAATCTCGACGAAATGATTCCGTAACGGTACCGTAACATTTCTCCAAACTAATAATAACTACTTTGTTTAAATTAGTTGAGAGAGGGCTGAGCCAACGCAGCATCCTCGGTCAGAGCATCCACAATGCTTTGGGTCTCTTTTTGCATATGTGGCAAATAAATAGACTTAGGTCCATAATGACATGGACAAACCTAAACTAAAAAAACCAAAATCTATCCAATGCAAAACAAAAAAGTACTAGGTCTAGAATACATAACAACCAATAAAAATGTTCTAGTATATTTCATTTATTAAAAGAAAAATTAAATGAGGAATAAATGATGAGTGCTTGGGTTTGTACTTGGGTCTAAAATAGACCCAAGTGTGGACTAGGTCTCATTTTTTTATTGCCACATAAGCTAGACTAGGTCCACTTTTAATTGCATTGGAGAACACTTTTTTATAGACTAGATCTATTTCTTACATGGCATGTAACTTTTTTTAAGAAACCCAAAGCATTGTGGGTGCTCTCATAAGCACCTGCAAACACCACATAAAAGACGAATTCTACCCCTTACACCACCATCATTTCAAAAGGTACAAAAGCAGAAAAAAAGCAAAAGCCAAAGAAAAACACCACGAAACCCCAACTCAATTAGGGCCGGAAAAAAAATTGGAAAAAAAAAAAAGTTAGCCGCACAATAGAGAAGAAATCTGAGAGGAATTAGGGTTTTCCGTGCGAGAAAAAGGGGGAAAAAATATGATGCAGACTCAGAGGACTCTTGAAAACCAGCAATCGCTGATGCAGTCGGGCCAGATTTCGGGGAGTTTGAGCTTCAACGGGACGCTGACGAAGGAGGACGAGGAGATGTCGAAGTCTGCGCTGTCGACGTTCAGGGCCAAGGAGGAGGAGATCGAGAAGAAGAAGATGGAGGTCAAGGAGAAGGTCCAGGCTCAGCTGGGTCGGATTGAGGAGGAGACTAAGCGATTGGCTACTATTCGAGAGGTATTTTCAATTTTTTTTTACTTGTTCTTGTTCTAGTTCTGATTTTTTCGTTGTTTGGGAGATGAGATTTTGTTTTCCTGCTGTGATTTGGAGGAATTTTGTGGAATTTTTGGAACGAAGACCAGAGATTTTGGTTAGGGTTTGCCTTGTGTGTGTCAGTGTGTGTACCTGCTTCTTGCTTACTACTGTAAAATTAATTGGGGTTTCTCCTATGTTCATGTATTTTCTTAAAGGGTTTTCATGGGCGTCTCTTCCCTGTATTGTTTGAGTGAAAAACCAAGAGCTTTTTGGCTGAAAAAGTGACTGTTAAGATGGTTTATACGCTAACCCAACGGGGAAAAAAGTGACCGTTAAGATTTCAGCCTGGAGATTTACAGAAGTATTCTGATTTTTTAGATAATTTTTTTTTTCTGGTTCCAGCCTTTGTTGGGCTGTAAATTCATAGTTGAGATTGATTAGTTAACTCATCTAAAAGACGAAGAAAACAGTGAAATATGAAAAAAAAAATGGTGAAAGACGAAGAAGACGAAGAAAGCTCAGATGGGATGTTCTTCAGATTCATATTTGCCATGAATTAATTATGTTCTGCACTAAATCTTGTCGAATTTCCATCTAACTGTTCTTGTCTTGTATGGCTAAATATCTCGTGGAAAATTGTATGAATTTTTGGCACACATGCATATCCTTAAAATAGCTATGAATGAAATTTTCCAGGAATTAGAAGCACTTGCAGACCCGATGAAGAAAGAAGTATCTGCTGTTCGTAAGAAAATCGATGCGGTTAACAAGGATTTGAAGCCACTCGGGCAGACTTGCCAGAAGAAGGTGATATTATAATTTCCATATTTTGCTAGCTTTTCTGGTGTGGAAGAAAAATAATTAAGACAACATTATATGATGTTATGAATTGTGTGTTTGTGTCTGTAACCTCAGGAACGGGAGTACAAAGAAGCACTCGAAGCTTTCAATGAAAAGAACAAAGAGAAGGTTCAACTGATTACTAGATTGATGGAGGTGAGTTGAAGCTTATTTTGGTAGTCAATTTGAATCGGGCATCGTTTGGCTCAAATGAAGGGTTAATCACACAATTGCTTCTAAGTTTAGAGTAATTATGTATAAACTAAGTTCTGTTCAAAATTACGTAAACCAAACTTTATGAACTAAGTTTCAAACACTTCACGAGCTGGTCCTAAATTGTGAAAGATATATAACTTATGGAGTTAAGACTAAACTTGAACCTCAATTTTCATCGTTATCATTATCATCGCTGCAAACAAACCTTTTTATTATTAATTGCTTATTGTAGATTTGTAATTGTTCTAAATTTGGTGATTATGCAGCTGGTGAGCGAAAGCGAGAGGTTGAGGCTGAAGAAACTGGAAGAGTTGAGCAAGAACATAGAGACGATACACATAGCTTAAATAAACGTCGTTTGGCGTATTCTGATTTCGATCGTGTGTGATGTATTTAAGATAAAAAGTCATTTCTATTTATATATTTGGTGTTTTCCTCTTTTTTCTTTCTTTCGGGTTTGGTTGTATTTGATGGTTATGGTGTTTGTTTGCTGCTGAATTAGCTGTTGATGAAAGGATTTCTAATTTTAGGAAGAGGAATGTTTTCTCCTTAAAAAAACAGGCTTGTAACTAAAACAGGTCCCAATCTCTATTGTATTCTTCTAAGTTCTTTTCCTTAATTTTTCTCCCTTTTCTCCCTTGTTGTGTATGTTTTTTAGGTTTGCATTGGAAGGGATGTGTTAGAAGAACCTTTGGATTCTCATGGATAATGACTGGTGACCTTTACTTTTTTTCTCTTTCTTTTTCTTTTTATATAGTTTAATTTAAACTAGGTATCCAAAGTTCATTTTTTGTGGTGCTTGATTTAAAATTCACTCTGATAATGCATTGCATTAGTGGAAATCATGAGCCCACCTTGTTATAGTCATTTTTTTTTGACATTCTTTTCTCCAATCCCACATATAATGCTTATATTATGTTCTCCCCCTATAAATTTCAATGCAAAGGGCAAAATGAAAAGAATTTTATCTTCTTGGGGAAATGTTACGGTCCCGTTACGGAATCATTCTGTCGGAGTTTGTAACCGTTAGATCGTCATGTAAACGTCGAAGATAGTTGATCTAAAGATTACAGACTTCGACGGAATGGTTCCGTAACGGGACTGTGGCATTTCCTGATTCTTGATTTCAATGGTAAGAAATAATGGGAGTCCCATGTGGTGCATATTTTGCTTCAAAGTGATGATATTGTTCCTTGAGTCATGATGAAGCCAAGCCCAGGTCATCATCATGTCATTCTTTTGAACATGACAACAAATATGAATTGCACCCCACTCCTTTTTTGAAGCATATTTTTCTTTTAAATAATAAAATAATATTTACCTAATACTAAATTCTAGATTTTTCCTCAGAATTCTTGACTAAAGACTAGCACGGGAGATCATCTTTATTGTACTCTAAAATTTCATACCAAATTGACCCTAATAACAACAGTTGGCGTCATTTTAAGTACCTAACGTGATGTTAGTGGCTGAGATTACTCCATTAATCTCTGGCAGTTAGCTAGTCAAATTTTTTGAATTTTGTACCGACAACAATAAGAGCAGCCATTTACTTGATCTAACCTTAGCCATTACACATTGGAAATCTATCCCATGTTTGGTTCATAGGATTTCAGCCCTGGATGGAGTGCTCGGTCCGGGATGAAAAGTGCTTTTTTATCCCATGAAATCGGGCTAAGTCAATTCGGGGTTTTAGGTGGGATTACACATGGCAAGGTTAAAGTCCAATTTACACTCATTTACAAATTTGTTGATTTATTCAGAGGGGTAAAAGAGTATTTTACACCATTATGTTTGAATTGTGGTGACATAGACAATATTTTTTTTTTCTTTTTAAAGATAAATTTATCCTAATTCTTATCACATATAACAAACATAGGACTATATTTATCCAAATAATACAATCCTTTACATTTGCACTATTTTAGTCCAATCTCATTTTAGAAAGCAAACATGGGATGGAAATATTAGTCTAATTCAGTGTCATTAGATTAAGTTGGATCTTAGCAATTGTTCTTCAACTTAGTGACATCTGGGGCCTAAGTCTATATCAAGAATTAATGCAAAACAGTAAATTTTATTTACATATCTGGAAATTGCCTCAAGTACTGATTTAAATGTAAGAAACTCAGTTATCAAGGTAAACACTGGCTTGGAGGCTTTGTAATGAACGTTGGCTTCACCACAATCACCGGGACGGAGCTATGAGGCCTGTTTCAAGGCCTTACGTTAGCATAGGACTTAGGGTATCGTAATGTGATTGCGGAAGTCGATAGCAAGTGTGTCGTCACTATGCTCTTGGGGATGGCGAGTGACTCGCGTGGGTTGCACGGTGACGGTGCTCTAGTCCGGGCCATTCAGGATCTTTTGGAACGTGCATGGGTGGTGCACGTGGTGCATTGTTATCGGGAGGCTAATTTCGTTGCGGATCGTTTGGCTTCTTTAGCCCATTCTTGTCCAGCTGGGTGTCAGCGTCTTCTGGCACCACCGCTAGAGGTTCAACCGTGGCTTCTGCATGACGTCGTTGGCGTCGCCCATCCACGAGCAACCATGATCTAGCGGAGTCTAGGCTCCGGCCTCCTTTCCTGACAA